TATGGGAAGCCTAAGATGTTTAATGAAAAATAAATGCCAGAACCGTGCTCCTGGTCATCCAATCTATAAAGTCGGGCACAATTTAACTGGTTTTAACAACATTTTAGAAGGTGGGATAGTTCCTTTAACTAAACAATGCTTTATGCTACAGCCGAGTCTGCAACTCAAACTGGTCGTTACTCAGCATTGTCGTCATCACAGAGCTTCAAATCGATCAGCTACAGGCTGAACACGTAGGTACCTATAGGGTATAGGAAGACGTCCAAAAACTGTTGGCCATAGTATCTGTAGTGGGATCTACGTTCCATGCTGGTCAGGCATTTTGCAAAATGCCTAGTCATTTTGTAAAATCTATATTACTATTTGAGGTGACGTAGTTTCTGTCTGTAACCGAGGTCGCGACATGGTGCTACGTAGCGCGGGTTACAGATCACACCGTTGCACCTACCGCGCTGAAATTTGCGCAAGTTATAGAACAAGGATGGACAACGTGCCTTTGAGCGGTCTCGGCTCGATCGGATCGATAGCGAGCGCGTGGCGCGTGCCCAAAAAGTGCAAATTCGCGTCATAGACTTTACCTGTATAAATCGGCTGGCAAAAACGGGCGAAAATGGCTAAATTTGCCCGACACGGGTCCGTTCCCCGTGCAATATCTCGGTAGCCGTGCGCCCGATCGACACGGGGAAAACAGCATCGTATAGAGAATCGAACGGGCTATCGAATGGTGTGCGGTGCAGTGGATGGCACGTGCCACGTGCACATGTGAGGGCAATTTCATTTTAAAAGTGCGTTTTAAATGGATTTTGGATTTCATTTTATTTTTACGTGACCGCCAGACAGAGCGAGTTGAAACAACGCCTATTGGCAAGGGAAATGTACCACCTTTCATGGAAAAATTGTGAAAAGCTAAATGATCAAAAACAAGGTGGAACAAATTGCTGGAGAAAATGACATTTGTCCATAATGTGCCACTAAATAATTACACGGGGTTTGCTGCTTAACCTGATACGCTTGACAATTGAAAATGCTATCATTAGAAAGAGCATTCAATTCTCTCCAAGATCCAATCATCACGTTTGCATGACAAGCAACAGTATTCTTAAAAATATAAATGTTTTAAACCTCTGCAAAACGATTTTTAGCGAAAATTATCTACGCCTTTCATTTGTCTTAAAACAACGCACCTCAATTATAAAGCACATTTGACAGGTTCACTGAACTATTGACAGGTTCTGAAGCAGAAAGCATGCTTACCAGTATAACGCCTTTTGGGGCGACTAACGGAGCGAGCGAGAGGGTGGGCCTTGCACGTGCGAAATTGTGAGGGGGTACCTCCAGCTGACTTGTGCACGGCACCCTACTAACTGGTCTCTAGCGATGTGCCAAATTTGGGCACAATCGGCCCAGCCGTTCTCGAGATCTGGAAGCGGCACCCTGCACGTGCGCACGTGCAAAATGGGTCCCAACTGACTTGTGCACGGCACCCTACTAACCGGTCCCCAACCGTGTACCAAATTTGAGCGCAATCGGTCCAGCCGTTCCTGAGATCTGGAAACGACCCCTGCACGTGCGCACGTGCAGCAGCACCCCAACTCTGGCACATGTATATGCAGTGCCTAGTGGGTGCCTACCTACATGCCAACTTTCAGCGCAATCGGCCAAGTAGTTACCGAGATATTGCAACAATTACAAAAGTGACACCTCTTCGTTTTGCACGTGGCACGTGCATAAGGGGTCACCCACATGCATCGGGAATAGTCCAATACTTGGTAGAAGGAATGAAGCTACCCTACAAAAATTACCGCGTGTAAATCGGTCAAGTGGTTGCTGAGATATAAGCCTCTCAAAAGCGTGACCACGGCCGGCCGGCCGGCCGGCCGCTCATACTTAGAAATTTCCGTTAATCTAAGGAAAGACTACGCTCGCTTCGCTCGCTCCGTAATCAGACACGGGCACCTCGATGCGGTGGATATTTTTTCCACAAACCAAAACGTTTAGCCGTCAAAAAGCAATCGACCGAAATGGATAGATAACCCAACCGACACAAGAAAAACCAAACACCCGCCGATCGTAAATACCCCTTTTTCGCGTTGCGGAGCACGCGGGTCACCCTAGTGGCTAGCCATTTTGAAAAAGCCTGGTTGCGTTCAGTCATTTTTCAAACAGCCGTCTTTTTGTAAAATGCCTAGGCATTTTACAAAATGACTGATTTTCTAAAGTGCCTGCAACATATATACGGCTTCGACCGGGTGTGTAGCGAAACGGTTGTGAATTTATAGGTATACGCGCACAATAAGGCTTCCGATCGGATGATGCGGACGATGCGTTCATCGGTGTATGCAGGACTTTTGTAAGTCCTGAATGTAGTCTTAGCAAGGATAAAAACACCAGCAACGATATAATATTGGTGCGCCAGTAGCGAGGTAGCACTGGCAGTACATGAAAAAACGTGTTTTTCGTTTTCTTGCTTTGTCAATGATGAATGAAAAATGTGCTTGGTTGAGGCATTCCTTCAAGAGAAGAAGCCTCTAACTACACGTGAAAAATTATCAGACACCACAAAAGGCGTGGGTGATTGCGGCGTCATCTCATGTGCAAAAGGTTTGCCGCTAATTGTCAAGGCAATTGTCCAAATAAGTCTAGCTACCTGAACGAGCTGTGGCCAAACTTTTGAATGTTTGATTAGGGACTCCACTGCCCTTTGTTCAATCGTCAAGTAAGAGGTAGCTGCGTTGGGGTTAAAAGGAATATCCCTACAAAGCAAGAGACTGTGGCCCTGATGCCCTTATAATCTACAAGACCCACCGAACCAGATCGCATCTGCATGACCCGCCGCAGCAGTTGGCTCTCCGGCGCACACGTCACAATTACACCGTTCCTACATGCGTGACCTTTACTGCGGCGTCTGGACCCATTGGCGGCGGTGGGCTGCACGTGCTGCTCTGTGCCCTGACCGGTGACCTTTGGTCGCCCGAGGGCAGGGGGACGATGATGCATGACACAAGGAGCCGGCACCGGCTGAGAGTAACTGACGGCGGCAGCGGCGGACGATAAACTCACCGAGACGCCAGAGGCGGCCGGAGGAGCCCTGGGGACCCCGAGCAAGGAGATTCCACCAATGGTGCCATTTGGAGATTGCTTTGGCTCTGCTCTCAAGAGGCCGGAGTGCCTTTTGAGCCCGCTGCATGGGTCTTTGGTGCTTTGAAAAATCGTATGAAGATCACGTTTCGTCCCAAACTATGAATCGTGGATACATAACTTCTTTCCTACCCAGAGAACAGAACATTCCAAACATGCAACTTGTCTAAATAACTAGTTAGTTTTGTTTCTTCATTGCACACCCATAGGTACGCAACTAGGGAGACCAGGGGAATAGGAAGCCGTAATCAGTTGCCACAGACGACAAAAAGATAAACTCGGAAATCAGAGGAACATCAAGTAATATCTTCTTTTTTATCGACATCCTCTAAAGACACTTTGAGCGAAAAGAAAGAATGAACCATGTGGGGAAATATTCAGCGATGACTATTTCTCTAGCGGCACCCCTCCATGACTGAATGGCGCAGTCTCCACTGCCACCCGCTCTGGTCCGCACAATCCTGGACCAAGACAGCTTCATTATTCGCCTGCGGTACGGACCCACCCCCGGGCGCTCCAAACCATTAGGGCTTTCCGCCGACGCCTGAAATATGCCAGTCATGAGTAACCGCCACTTCTGGACACGAGGCGAAACAATAACCGACCGTGATCGATGACCGACGAGATGCCGGCCTTGCCGTGACGTCACCCCTGCTGTGTGACGTCACTGAAAGTCATCGAGCACAAATCCGGGTTCGATGAATTGAGATGCAGAGGCCGACTCACTGCCTTGCAGAGAATGTTCGGCATGTCTCGTTTTCCCGAGGCGGTGGTTTTCCTTTCCAGTTTCCTCTCGAATGTCGCAGATCTGTGAAATGGTATTGACTTGTTGCTGGAAAATCTGTGTTGAGTTAGTCCCAGTAAGCCACCGTTGAGAGGAATTGATGATTACTCAGCGTTCTGGGTCAACAATAAAAAACCAGAACTTGCTAATGAAATGCTTGGAAAATAATGTGTCACAGCGGGTTTTAAAATTGAGGGTCGGATAGCAACAGGAACTAAGTAAATTGTTCAAGCGTAAGAGAGTTAGGTAAATGCAATATTTTGCATGATTGCTAAATGGATCTCAGTAACAATAACTAGGAACTTGTCTTGTCGACGTCGCCAACGATATTTTACTGTGTGAGCATCATCGGACAAACAAATCACGAAGAAACGCGATATTTCGCCTCTGATTGAATCGCAATAATTCAGACAGCGCCTCGTAAAAATTTACTTCACCTTTGATCCCGGACATCGAAACGGTCATCGACACCACACCCACGCGATGATCAAAGTAAATCGCCTTCATGTTCTTTGAGCGAAGTTCTGGGTTGCATACAAAATTCACCCAGTTGATCAATGAAGACGCTGACCTTTAGTCCGCTGATAGCCAGTCAGACTGAATCGCGATTCTTTGGTTCTTTTCAATTCCAGCCTCGCCTCAGTCAATGGGTGAGTGGGCGATCCCACGCCCATCGTTTGGTGATGAGTTGCGTCTGCTGTCGAAATGGGAAATCGCAATAATCGCAGAAACAACGATCATTGCCGCAGAATTGAATATCGAGTTCTGCCGGTCATCACGATTTCACTGGAAGATTGAGTTTCATTTTACAACTACAGAAAACATCAGGGCACAGTTTAAAACCATTAAGCTCAACATCTCATCAACTTTCATATCATTCAACCTCACACCGATTGAGGACAGCCTGACGCGTACACCGTTAAACCCACGGACCGGGGTGGCAAGATGACATAATTCACACTCCCGGACATGACTCATTGGGCGCTGTCGGCACCCACCAGCGGCGCTGACGGTGCACGTGACCTCTGACCCTGCCCTGTGACCCCGGCCCTCACCTCTGACCCGCCGGCCGTTGCAGTGTGCAGTGCCGAGGAGCTGCGTGGGCCGCCTGTCATGGTGCATCTGACCGTCTCACCGCTCACAAAGTAAGTCGCAGAGACTAATGGGAATTCTGCCGGACCAGCGCGTCGTCAAAGTTGTTCCGCTATTTTGCCGTTTATTTTAGCTGTTATTATTGGTTAATACTTTGTGAATGCTTCGTCTATTGCAAATTCATCCATTAGAATATCTTTTGCACCCACGCATAGAAATAGAACTTTCATTCCAATCACTGCGACTTAGCATTGAATGGAAGCTCCCTTCTGTTTTACGTAAAGATATAATTTTCTATCAAAAACAACGTTTTAATTACCACGCGTGGACATGTTTGTTACTCTTTGAAAACGCTTCCGCTTGTCACCTGTCATGCCACTCGAGAGAGACCATCACTGTTCGCTGTACCGCCCTCAGGCCTCGGTCCCGTGAGATAGAAATGAACTGGCGGCACACCGAGGAGTTTACTGGTGAGAAAAGAAAAGAAGATGAAGGACGGTGGGTTCACAATTAAATGTGACACCGATCTAAACAGCAAACCGCAAACGCCAAAGAGTTCGGTAGTAATTGTATTCAGTCTACCACAAATGTATAATGAGCCAATAACAACACAGATACCCGATAGTGTACTTACCTTTTTTGACGGAACAATCAAGCAATGACTGCATCTGATCGTTATAGATCGGATTCTAGCACCGGTCATTATGAATCACCGAAATCAGTTGTTCCGGGTCGCAACGTTAGTCTTGTAACAGCCCACATTACCCCGGCCCGGCGGTCACGCTGATCAGTCTCTCCGAGATCCTTAAACGCCGCTCTAACCTCTCCCCAATCCCACAGAGCTAGGCAACGACACGGTGATTCTGAGCCTGGGCGACCCGAGCTCTGGCAGCTCCCGGCGGCTGGTCTCTGTCGAGGTCAGCTCGCACCGCGGCGGCCGCTTCCGCACCAAGGAGAGGTTCGGCCACCGCGAGCTACCGCACGAGAACATGGAGAACCGCTGCACAGAGTACTGGATCGGCTACTACCGCGACGAGCGACTGCTGGCCAAAAACTGTCTCAAAGTGCTGCCCGCCTGGATGTGGCAAAATAGGTGAGCGGGGGAGGAGTGGAGGGCGAGTGAAGTGGCTGGTTTAGCCGGGGATTCACTGAAAGAAGTTGAGGGCTCTAGTTGGAGTCACAGAATTAATGGCGGGAAGCGAATGAGTAAAGGCCAAAATATCTCTTTTGGGGTATAGAGAACATGCATCAACGTCGTTCCTCAATACAACATGAATTAATATCAAAGCAATCAATTGATTTTCTTGACATATACTTGTTTTTTCTAGACGAAGCATCAATTTTTTGTCGACCTTTCCTCAGTGTTCCTGATCAACTATCGGTATCTTCCAGCATCCCGCAGAACAATTGGCATATTCTCGCCAAGTATGTAGCCGCACAATAATCTCTAACAAACACAATTACCCACTGATTGGCGCCCTGCTGGCCGCGGAATGACGTCCTCCAGTCTGTCGCGGTTGGCACCAGCCGCCTCGAGGACGGGACCTACCGACAAAGCGCCGCCCAAGGACAAACTGTCGGTAACGAGTCCAGAAACTCGCACACAAACGAGCAAATCATTCGGGACGCAGCCACTGGCCGCACGCCTGATCAGTCGTCAGAGGCCCGAGCGATGCAGAAAGACCTGCCGTAAGAGGTTTTTACGTGGGGCGTACCGAGGAACAGCGCACCGGCCCGCGACGGTAATTGAAGGCGCTTTCATCTTTTCTCTGTAGGATACGGGTAACAGCGCCTGTGCCCACTGTTGGGACGCATGACGCACAGAAAGACGTTCGTTAAGTGTTTTCATAAACAGCCTCGTGTGGAGTAAACGACGCTTATTCGCCGACGGCCTGCTGCATTGATCAACAATGACAGTGTGGCGTCTTAGCCTGGTCGATGTAGGCAGTGATTCTATACAAATCAACGTTACGTCATCGCACCTGCTTCGATGAAACACGGGTTTCTGGAGCCCATAACCGGCAGAGTTCAGCCTGACTGTGGTGCAACGCATTAAGCCCTTATAACAAATGCCAAAGTTGGGTCGGTCAAGACATCGAATCAAGAGTATTGTATTTTTATTCAACCGATGTCAGCGCTGAGCAGGCTGCTCTGTTCGGAAGTCTCCATCTCGGGAACGCCCCTGAAGAGGGCCCGGGTCCGGGACGTCTCTGTCCGGAGTTGGAACGCCTCGGACGCGGCTGGCCATCGTAACGAGATCGGCTCCGGCTCTATATCGACTGTGAGGAGGCGTCCAATCAGCTCCGATCCGTTTAGCGACCTCCGACGGTCAGCTTGGAGAGCCGCGGCATACGTCACCGATGACGTCAGAGGTCGGCGGCGGCGTGTCTGGCGCGGCGGCGGCGGCGCGGCGTGGCGTGGCGGTGGGTGGTCAGACACAAGTGGGTCACACTCGACGGCCGCCGGCGGCCGGGGCAATTGGCGCTAACTGGCCCCGGCGAGAGCGGCACAGGATGGGAAATGAGACAGGGAGAATGGGGAGGGGAGAGGAGGGGAGGAGGAGAATGAAAAAGAGAAGCTAGAAATCAACATAATGGGAAGGAGAAATAAAGAAGAAACGAGAGAAAGAAATATGGAAAATATATTGACATGCATTGGGATGGACAAAATGAAACAAAATACAAACGCTAGAGGCGAGAGGGAAAGTCACGTACAGATGTACCTTGGGTCGACGTATTCTTTTCGGTATACGAGTCCAGGTAGCTAGGTCAAGAGGACGTGACGGAACCATGGCACGGGCGATCGACAGGTTATGTAAATCATCATGGCTATGGCCGTGTTACGTAATCATAGAATGGCCAAGGCCAGAAATGTAATTATAAGGGGCTATTGCTGTGTACGCAGTACATGACTCGTTTGACGTCATTCATGAGAGCCAACACCTCAATACATTTGTTGATTGACGTGATGCCGCGACACATTCATCGTTCCTGTCGCTTTCATGGACATTCTATATTCCCGTACCCTCCACGAAAGTAGACGGTATAAGCAAGCCTCTCGAGGTGACATTTGTAAGATGTCCACGAGTGTAACGTACCACATCATAAGTCACTTCTGGTTAGGTACCTACCAGTCACTTGATGCCCATCCATTGCCTCGGACCAGCATTGCGCTGTCTAAACCTCACGTGTTCAACGTTGTTTACCTCTGGAAACCAGGCGACTCAATCAGCCATTATTCACTTGGGAGTAGGAAGTACCTACTATGACATCACCGTTTTCGTCCACAGGGAGGTACTGGCGCCCATGTCGCTGGATCAGATGATGATCCCCGGCACGCACAACAGCGGCACCTACAAACGCTCGCGGGACATCGTCTTCAAGCTGGTGACCACGCAGGACGAGGACGTCTGGTCGCAGCTGGTGTTCGGCAATCGCTACCTGGACATGCGCGTCGGCTTCCGGCCCTCTGAACGGTACGGAACGTGTAGGATGGTGAGCTATCCTCTATGGCATCGGCCACTTTAGTTGCGTAAGAAAGCAAGTACTCGATATACGCAGCAAAATGTTTGCTGATCACGATGCTTCGCTGTTATCGCTTAATCTTGCTTTCGTGTTGCTTCACAGTAACGAATTAGTTGGACGCTTTGAGCCAGACGCTACAACGAAACATTCCAATCCTCATCCTCATCGTACCTACGACTTCTTGGATTGTTTCCTGGCCAAACCCAAACGTTGCATTGACCGGACCTTTGTTTTTGGCATCCAGCGACCCATTCTGGGTGTACCACGACTTCTTCCCGGTGAGGCCCGTCAACATTCTGATAAAGCACGTGCGCTGGTTCCTCGAGTACACCAAGGAGGTGGTCATCCTGCACTTCCACCGCTTCCCCGTCGGTTTCGACAACGCCATGGTAAGGCTGCATGATAAGGCTGACGAAGGTTTGGTGTCTTGCCGCCTGAGATCACGCCTGACACCAGAGATGTCGGTGTCTTGTGGATTGTTTTGACTAGATGCTACATGTACTTCTCAGGGTGAAGTGCCGGGAATCATCAGTAGAACCTAGAACGTTCAACAATGCCGCTCTCTCAGTTCAGCCTTCAATCACATCTCCCCACTCTTGCTCCCGCAGGTCCACACGCAGTTTGTGCAATACCTGACCATGGAGCTGGGCCAGTGGATGTCGCCGCGGGTATACGACGTCACCATGGGCGAACTCTGGGCGTCCGACAAACGGCTCATCATCTCCTACAACGACTGGCCGACCCGACGACAGAACGAGTACCTCTGGCCGTCCATACCGCAGGTCAGGTCAACAGGGACTCAGTGTATCATAGACGAATAGTGTGAATGAAACTGAGTGTCTGTTGCATGGTTGCACCATCCCCCTAGTTCATCCACAGTGTGAACCGTGTCCCTATCATGATCTATCCAATGAGCGATGATTGGCATGCATGGTAGTCATGCAGAGCGTTTCGTTGCCGTGTTGTCCCTCTCGGCCCATAGAATCACACCGATGAGGCTCTCTGACGACCTCCTCACTCCTTCAGGCATGGGGCGACAAAAAGTCTGTGGCCAGCCTGTACGGGTTTCTGCGCGAGGAGATGCGGCAGCGTTCCGGAGGACCGCAGTGGGCTGCCATGGCCGAGCTGACGCCATCGCCCTGGGACATAATCATCCCGAACCGCGGCCTGCGGGACCTGGCGCAGAAGGCCAACTCGGAGGTGACCAAGTGGTTCCGCGACGAGTGGTGGCACACGGCCAGCGTCGTCGCCACAGACTTCTTCCTGGGCAACGACATGATCGACGTGGCCATCGAGGCCAACATCAAGCGCCGAAAGTGTGTGGCTGGACTGGTGTCGCATCGAGGGCGTCGACTTCGTGGACGTCGCGGTAGGAGAAGGGCTATCCTGGAGAAGGACACTCCTAGGAGTCAGCATGACAACGAATTGGCTCCCAGGCCAGCTCCGCAGGACCGGCCGGCTAAGAAAGAAGGGCCGGAGATTCGAGAGCAAGGAAGGGACATTCCGGATGTCACGGATTTTGGAGATCACCCAGATCGAAGTCTTCAGAACGTTGACGTTCCTACACCACCGTCACGTCGCAAGCCACAAAACGCTAGAGGCTTCGGTCACCAGTTGGATATGAGGCCCAAGAATGACAGAGAACTTGTTCGACGTCCACGTCGGGTTATGCAGAACCACAATGTTTTTGAAAATAGACGTAGCTGGAGCCCCCAAGACACCAAGAACACTAGCCCTCGCCTAGTCTGGACTCCAAAATTGACCGAGGGACCTACCCGTCAGAAAGATTCACGGTTAGCGAAAGGTCCGGAACCCCTCGACCGTCCGTCAGATTGGAGGACGCGAAGTGCCGGAGACCCTGGCCGGCAGCCACAGTGGAAGGAAGAGGAGGCTGCCGCTCGTGACCAAACGGTACAGAGCTACGAGGACGGACACGACGCCTTCGACCTGTGGACGCAAGAGTCCGTGTTCACACCTTCGCTCGCGCGAAAGGCCCCAGATCCCCAGCTCAATGTCCAAACACGATTGCGAAACCAACAGCCCACCATTACCAACCAGCGTAGTTCGGTAAACCAGTTGTGGAGGCCAACTTCCACCGCAGACTGGAGAACTCACCAGTCCAGGTTCACTCCACGACTTCCGTGGTGGTCAAACACGAATCCTGGGCTTGGATCGAGCTCCATGCCGAACTGGCGGAACCAGGGAGAGCTCAACCTCTCTGGGCAGTTTCCCTGGTGGACACACCAACCCTTCGGAATCGGACAGGGACTGTATTCACAGTGGCAGGGCACAGGCCTCGGCATGTCACCTTCCTTCGGGGGTGGTCTAGGTAGCGGTGTAGGCCTAGGCGGCGGTCTAGGAAGCGGTTTAGGCAGCAGTCACCCGCTGGTGTCTCCTGCGGGAGGTAGGCTCGTCTAGCCTCTGGTACCGCGAGCTCGAAGGTGTTATGTGTCCTGTTATGCGCCTTAGGTACTCAGTCAGTCAGTAAGGAACGACAAGAGGCTAGATTAGATAATAGAGGTGACATGTTAAGGAGCTGTCTATGTAACAAATAATATCGTTTCAAGTGACGCGACACGATGCGTACGGATGTATACCTACTCTCAGATGATGGAAGAGTCGTGTTGGCAATAATATAGGAACGTATACTAACAGCTGACTTTTTAGCGTTTATCCACAGCGATGAACGCCCAATAGAAATGAAAACGAAACGGCACTGCATGACAAAAGTTTAGCGGAAGGACCTAGTATCTGGACGTCGAATGTTCACTCCTTCTTTGAGTGATACTTTAAATCCAATCAACATCAGCTGATTGGATTTAAATCAATCAACATCCAATCTCTGAGTTCTGACACTAATATACAGAATGACACATCCCTCTCCAATAGCAATAAGCTCAACAGAACTCTTCAATCAGCTAAACCATCACTGTCACACAATTTGAGTACGAGCCACGCCACAAACAACCGAGAGTTGAGTGGCACGCCGCGCCCGAAGGCCACAGCGCACAGCACACTCAGTGGCCGTTTTACGGGTGCATTAGGCGGTATGAGAGTGGGTGAAATGGAACAGAGCGAGCGGTTCAAACAGAACACCAAACTACTCTACAACGAACGGCACTCAATTATAAAGGTACTGTGCGAAACAGAATGCATCACATCAAGCATTTTCTATGTGATACTTTCCGGCAAGTAAATGGCCGCGTAAACAACGGCCCACATGTCGCTTCTCTGGAAGTATTCAATGCTCGATCTCCTGCTCTTCCTGTCCGATGTGTATTGTTTACGTAATCTGACCCTGGCCCTTAGATCAGCTTCTGGACACGCTCGTGCACCCGGAAAGATGCCGCGCAATGACCGTCGGGCATGATCAGTCCCCGCCGCGCACGGAATTCTGCGAGCCACTGCGTACTCCCGGGAGATGAAAGGACAAGACCTACACTTATTGGTAAATAAAAATGGAATAAGATTGAAGATGAAATAAGAAAAGTAAACCGAAAACTGCAATAAAAATGAACGCGAAAGATTACGACTGACGGATGACTTTCCAGAGCAGCTGACTATTTAGAGAAGTAAGATGTAATCAGAGAGATAATACCTAATTCATGGATCTTCGGGCTACATGTTTCATTAAATTTGCTCGACAAACTATAACAAAACTAAAAGTAATAGCGAAAACCAATATTGTATCTGGGCATTCCATCATCTATATGACTGAACACAAAATGTTATTACGTTCTGGCCATTATTTTTAAAAATACACCAAAGCAGATCCCAGTGACATTCAACCGCGGCTATATTTGCATACTGTCAGATTGCGTCTTGCGAAAGGTTAATTTGATAGGTAAGCACTTTTGTGGCGAAGCGGACTGTATAAATGAGACGTTATGCGCTCAAGACTCTTTTCTCCGTAGACATCGTTAGTAAAACAATAATGACGTGCGATGATAATGAAGAAAAAAATACACAAATAGCGGGCCAGTAGAGCTGGTGGATAGATGATGTGCACATAACATTTCAGACAACGGACCTAAGCACCAATCAAAAATGGATAAGAAACCATAATCAGTAATCACTGACACTGTAGACACACATTTTATAAATACATATTTAATATTAATGAGCAATGAACATGGTTCAAACTTCTTTCTTCGGAAACAATTGTTGCACGGGTATTTCAAACATGTATTCATGCAACTCAATACAACATCACTGGTCACATTTAAATACAAAACAGTTATTTATACAAAATATCACGAGCAAAATGTACAGTGCACCCCTCAAGTCCAACACTGTCCACTTCTAACAACTAACACATGACGTCACAGGTCAATATCGCACCGGGATATGGTCCATGTGCCCGGGTACACGTGAACCGAGTCCACGGCTATGGGACCGGGTCACGCCAATACCCCCCGAACGCAGTGCGTTCCTGCGAGCGCGCTCACGAATGCGCGGCGAGGGGCTTTCGACACGCGCCACACATCAGACAGATGACAAACAGGACACTTCCAGGAATCGCCGTGACGATGGACACTGTCTGCGGGATCACGGACACGAAATGAGCAAAGTTTTTTGGAAGGACAGCCTTTAACCCGCGCGGGGCTGGGGGGGGGGGGGTAAATTTTACCCCCCCTCGCGAATTTTTGCGATATCTCAAAAACGGCGGCGCGCAGCGCCGCCAAACTTTCAGTACCTTTTCTTACATCAATTTGACACGTTCCCTGAAAATTTGAGCGAAATCCGTCGGGAATTTTTTGAGAAATTGACGTTTTAGTGACGTCATGTTCGTCATTTTCGCCTCAAAAACGGCAAAAGTTCAAACGCCGCTAACATCTTCATTTTTAAGGGAATCAAGACTCAACAAAAAAGGTTGTACGTAATTTTACTTTGTCTATCAAATGGCTATCTCGGTTTTTTGAAAATTTTGGATTTTGGCCTAATTTTTTTCAAAAAACTGACTTTTTTGGGAAAATCATTATAAAATCCAAAATTTTGAGTCTATCGAAAAAACCGGAATATATGTCAGAGAAGTGGTCTATGTGCACCTACATACCAAATTTTAGAAGAATCGGTTCAAAAATGTGGGAGTTATTCAAAATTTTATGACGTCACGACACACAAAATTTTTGAAAAATGACTTTTTTGGAAGTTCTAGACCTCGTACGGAAACAAAAATAGCACCATTCGATTCGCCGTGAAAAACTGCATCAGATAGACACCTTTTTAGGCCTTAACAACCAACTTCAAAATTTGACCTCACTTGACCTGACCTTGACCTGACCTCGACCTTAAATTCATCCAGAGGTGGTCCATATCACTTATTAAGTGTGCCTATTGTATTCTATGAGTAAAATGACCCATAAAACATGTGTCGCACATGCCCTTTTCTATATTTTGTTTTTTGGTGACCTGACCTGACCTGACCTGACCTTGACCTTGACCTCTGAATGATATTGTATGCAACGAATATTGTCTTGGTAGCCTAAGAACACGTTTTGGGCGATCAGTCTCAGTCCATGACTCCATTCTTCGGCAACTACGGTGCAAGGCCGATACTGTAGAAACTTGCAATTTGTACCCTTGACCTGACCTTGACCTTGACCTCAAACTTTAAATTAAGTACATGTTTTTAGTAGTTCGTGATGAGAGCTTTCGATTGGCGTTTGAATTTTCCAAATCGGACCGTTAGTTCGGGAGATAACAGGGGGGGGGGGTAAAATTTACCCCCCCCCCCCCAGCCCCGCGCGTTCGGCTGGAGACCCCAGCCCCGCGCGGGTTAATGGATAATATCACGGTATAGATGTGGAAATGCATGTTTTGATCAATGCCCCGGTCACAGTTCAGGAACAAACGTCAATTATCTCTTACTGCTGGCCTGAACAGGCCAACCCTGTTACGCCACGTTCACAACTCCAAACGGAGATTCTCATCATCTCATCATTCTCTTCATGGTGAGTGATTTTCAAATCAGCTTTAACTGCAACTACCCGTCTCTTCAATGGGCTTTGTGTGGCAAGTAACAACTTGAGCGGAAAATGCGGCCAGTCGGACAGGCAACTCACGTAAGGTGACTAGCTTGCAAAAATTGCAGCTGCAAAATCGGGCGGAAATACGTAAGCCTCACAGATTATAGTTTGGCTGGGTAGTTTGCTGCCTAAGCCATGTATGCTGCTGATGCTGAGTAGGCCATGATTTGAGTTATAATCGCAACATGAGTAGACTGGACTATGCCATTCACCTGACGCAAAAGCGACTGAGTAGCCAAAGGGTTATGCTTCATACCATAAAAATGGTATGCCAGTGGGTAACCGGGCGAATCTCCAAAATTATTTCAATGGAATAGGAGTTATTAAGTAGTGACTTATTAGCAGGCCCATATCAAAAGGACATCTCGACGGTTTCACTTCGGTTCCGAGTTCGGGTCTTTGAGATTGTTCACAACATTGTGCACAGTTTCTGTGCAGGCTCGGCCATACTCCGTGCTAAATCTCCCGGTCGCACCTCCTTGCAGTCACCTATCGACAGCAGCACAACTTTCCGCGCATTGTACCGGCCCCAAAATACGCCCTGCAAACACACCACCGCAGCGCCGTTCAACTGAGACGGACGGCCGACCGAACGGGCGGCACCGACACCTACCCACAGTGTGCCGCGCCGCGCCGCCGGAGCCGGAGCCGCGTGATGTCACAGCCACCTCCACGTGCCGGGCCGCGTGTCACGTGCTGTACGAGCCACGTGAGCAGCCCGGGCACACGTGCAGAGTTTCGTGGATGAATAGGTCGCAATCGACGCAGTACAGTTCGCTGCATTTTCCACACTTGGATATCTGGGAAAGTAGGGAGGCAGCGTCAATTGGATCAGAAGACCAGATAAAAAAAAACACATATTGGCGAGCCTTGCTCGCCAGCGAATGCGAGAAATTGTTAGTGATGGATATGATGAGCGATGTACGTGTGCCAAGAAAAAAGGAAACGAAAGCAGATGACAGCAAACCTCACGATCACATCTTTATTAAAGATTATATTTATGTTGCAACTTGCAATGAAACAGCAAATAGCCATAAGTGAACTTTCACGGACTCTAACAAATCACTTTATCACATGACCAGACCTTTTCCCACCATTCTTGAAGATCGTTAGTTACATAACTTCTGCATAGAAGGGCAACAGCGCAAGCGAGATTCATTCACCATACACACAATTCTCACGAACAAATCATCTCAGTAAGGCCCATCTTCAGTGACTGACAACGCAACAACGCTAAAATCAATGTTGCTATTCAAACTGAAAAACAAAATGGCAGCTGACGTTCGTGCGTTAACAATCTGAAAGACGAACAAACTTACTCCATCCAAGAAATGGCTTATTTATATTTCATCATGCACTCAAAGACTTAACTTTTTCTAAAACCAAGCAGCAACTTTGAAAAAAGACTGGGAACGCTCAGCGCAAGAAACGGTAGAAAAAAAAACTCATCGTTTCTCAACAACATCACATTACGACCAAATCCACCCCATCGCACACCGTAGCGCCCCCTGCACTCACCAACTTCTGTGTATCAATCCTCGCTCGGCAGGCGGCGCAGTGCTGCGGGGGCCCGCCGGGCGGCCGCTCCACCTCCTCGAACGGCTCCAGAGGGAACAGGTGGTGGTAGCTGCGCGCCAGGTGCGGCGCCGACATCAGCGTCAGGCCGCACGTGGCGCAGTCTACAGGCAGCTCGCAGTGTTTGCTGTAGCA